TTTCAATAGCCTTCTCCTCCCTCTCCTTCTGCCTCATTAGACTTACTGCAAGCCTCGCCTGACGCCTCTGCTCCTTCTCCCTCGCCCTAACCTGCCTTGTCTCCTCACGCTGTCTTCTCGTATCAGCCTTTTGGAGTTGCAGTTGCTCCTCCTCCTCCTCCTGGAGTTGTAGGCGATCGCGCGCCTCCTTCACCTTCCTTAGAGACCAGAATACAGCTCCACCATGATACTCCTCAGCCTCCTGTAGGGGTAGAGGCTTACCTCGTTTCCTACGTGTTCTCTCATTAACTAGAGCCTCTCTCAGCTTCCTTACTTTATCCTTGAGGAGACTGTTTTGAACCAAACTCGAGTAAAGGACCTAGCTAAGCTTTTTGGCCTGCCTATCGCCCTAATTAGCGACTACCTGACGCAGCAGACGCTCCATCTTCCTCTAATTAGAGGCACTAAGAGCTGAGGAGTCACTATCCGTCGCAGGATCAGGTACAGTAAAGCGCTGAAGGATAACTTTTGGGTTAAGAGGCGAGATCCCTATAGCCTTAAAGGCGTTTAGGATCGTCGTTTCCTTAAAGGAGGCCTGCTAGGCAGCCTAGAAGAGAGGTAAGAAATCCCTCTTACTTATTAAAGTAAGGCCTTGGCTCCTATCCATAAAGGTAGAAACTTTGTTTAAGTACGCTGTTAAGAGAGGCTTAAACATGCTAACGTTAAGAGGCTGCAGCGTGTGGGTTAAGTGAGGAGGATATACTGCGAGGAGGATCTTATGCTTATCACAATACTTAATAAAATCCATTATAACGTGAGATCCATGGCCGTCAAGGACGAGTAATCAATAGGAGGATTAAGCCTTCGCCTTCGTACTACGATCAAACACCTGCTGCAGCCACGCGAGGCCTATCTCATTGTTCGTCTATCCAGAAGGTGATGAAGATATTCGAATTTGGTGGATGTCTGGATCAAGGGCCTGCAGCCAGGTGTCCTGTATCGATCCTGAGGCTGATTGATATATGAGGGCAGGCTTAAGGCAAGATCCATCTGCGCAGATACAGGCTAACAGCGTTATCCACTAGCGTGAGCCATCCTGTATCGTAGTCCTCCTCCTTATGCCCTCGTACGAGGCCTTACTAAAGATCCTCCTTGAACGACTTACAATACCAAGCATGAAGCCCTTCTTATCTATATTGTAGATATGACGCGCCTTGACGTGATATTAATTAATTTTATCGCGTAGGAGGCTAAAGTAGAGGTTATATTTGCTTCTTAAATCTGCTTTATAGCGACAGTTATTAAGGCCTTTTGCCCACCTTAAGGTAAGTTAATCAGGATAGCGCTAGACAAAGCGACTAGCCTAGTGTACTCCAACCTCAGTCTTGGCGATCTGTAAGGCAAAATTGCGTATCATTGGCTAAGTAGGTGGTAAGCCTCTATCTGTTAGTCGATTGATATAGGCGATTAGGGCCTGCTCCTGCTGTGGGTAGAGGAGCTGCCGTTTTTGGCCACCTATCGCGCGTGAGGCGTGTAGGCCTTGGTGTCTTTGGGTAAGCGTAGATTAAACAACACTATATTTTTTTGCAATATCTGTATACGAAAAAGGCTCATTAGGTCCTAAGGCATTAATAGCTGCAAGCGCAGCCTTAATATTAGCTATAGTGGTGGGGATACGACGCGTTGAGGTTGAGGTGGTTGTAAGGCGCGCGCGCACTTTGTGGTCGCGCGCACTTTGTGGTGGGGCTAGTTAGCAATCGGAAGCAGGTAGCCGCACATAATCATAATATGATTTACAAGACGTACCCTTCCGCTTTCTCTACGTTAGAGAAAGTCGGTGGCTGCTTATGGTGGATTTGTAACCTGGATTTGTGCAGATTACGTTGATATAGAAGGTTCATCGAGTGGGTATCTGGCTTTGCTTGCATTGCATTGCTCGTGACGTCATGACGCGCCAAGCGTCTAGGTAGCTAACTGAGTTCCCAAACATGTCTCCCATGCAGCCTATTTCCTACAGACGACTCATCATTGCTCGTGCAATCGAACGCTCAGAGAATTTCGACAAAATAAAACAAGAGACGGGAGTCGGGCTCCGTGAAGAAACCTTTTGTGATCTCCCTCGTATACAGGCTATTGGGGTCCTCCTGATACGCAACTTGAATACTAACAGATATGTTGGCTTCGGCAGCTGCCTCCTGGAAAATGTCTCTCAAGGTTGCTGCCGAATGAATATAACGCTCCACATGGACGCCAGCGGGAACCAAGGGCGGCGGCACAGGAACTGAATGGCCTTGTAGACCACCCGCAAGCAAGCCGGCTAGCCAGCTTCCTTGGCCACGCGCCAACTGGAACATGAGCTTGATTACTTGCTTCTGCTTGTCCCAGTCAAACGAATGCAGCACCTGGGCGGAAGCGACAATATCCCAGGACCCTTTTGACATGTTGAGCATGCTACTTTTATCCACAGCGAAGAGATCTGCTGGGTGAAAGCACGACTTTGTGATCGAATAATCCCGGAACAGCTCGTAGCCGACACTCAGGAATTGGGGATATTTGTCGATACCCAGCAGCTGCGTGGGTTTTGCACCGTCGTGGATCAACTTGCGAATGTCTTGACCAAGACAGGTGCCCAGATCTATCAGCGTTGGTGGAGCCCCGCTTGTAGCAGATGTGAGCCGCTCGACGATGCGGTTGTACATTGGATGTTCGGCCAGTCCAAGGACGAGGAACCAGAACTCGCCAATCGTGCCGATCGGGAGTGCTTCAAAGGCTGCATCGCGCTGTTTTCGTTAGGGAAGCGTCTCCAAAGGCTGAAGGACAACTTACGACTCGGTAGATGTGCTCTTCCTGGTGATACCGCGAAACACCAGCGTACTCTTCCAACAAGACCCTCATGGTCTCATTCAGCTTGGAACCGATTTCTGGAGTATACCATGGCAGCTTCTTCAGTTCGTCGACATTGCGAAACTCTTTGGAGCCCGACTCGAGAAGATCGTTTGCCTGGCATGCCGTGTTTCGTTCAAGCGCCATGAGTTCCAGCTTCCAGACAAAAGCGCAACTCGCGACCCAGGCAATGGAAACGGCTATCCAGAATACTGGATGGTCCTTTAGAGATTGGAGAATATCGTAACTTGGGGCCTCCATGAAGAGCAGTGCAAATGCTGAGATGAAAGGTTGGAAGGAGAGGTTGCACCAGGGTTGGGCAGCGATGGATTGCCATCACACGCAGTATATGTCATCTTTCGCCCGTGTGACATGGACAGTCGTCGTCTTACAGTGCGCCTCTGCAGTCTCGCAATACTGATCAGCACGTGCTATTCTGAGGGGTAGGCAGACTGGACGTGGGGGCCAAAAGACCCCCTCAACGCACCAATGGAATATTTTAGGACTGAAATGATACGACTATTTTCCGACTTTGCGTCGGGCTTAATTCTATTCGCCTGCACCGCATGCAAAGACGGCGCTTGGAGTTTGCCCCAGCCCGCACACTCTTCAGCCGTTCCCCACTGTCCAAAAGGTCACACGCAGACTGCCCAAATGGGGAGGTATCATGGTAAGTAAGGATTCTGCCTGCGCTAAAAGGCGTACGTGGCTGAGCATGCAGAAAACCGCCCCCAAAATAAATACGTTCCCACGCCTGCAGCCTTGCTCCGGCGACTGCGGCAAATCAAGCGGTGGCTTTCGGCTATGTCGCCCGCTTAAGCAACTGGATCGCCAAGTACGCCTCGCACATGAACAGGGACACGAGATAAATTATACATGGTAGATACATGGTATGCTGGCCTCGATTCAGCCCAGCGCCCGTCGCCGTCGAATGCGAAAGGGTGTCTGGACTGCAGGCTTGCTGACGCCTGTACCAAAGTGACTCCACTTGACCGGTATCTCACGTTCGGGGTTGCAGAGTTCAATATCAAACAGCGTCACCAGCGCTGCCGTCACAATCAACGTCTCCGCCTTGGCCAATTTGCGTCCAGGACACATTTGCGCCCCGCCCCCAAACGGGATCCATATGCCGTCCAGCCCCTTTGTGGAGAATTGCTGCGGGGCGGTAGCCGTGCATTCAAAAGGCATTGGACCTGCTGAATGCTGCCTTTGTGGATCGACAGAGGATGCATTTTCAGGCTTCCCGCGCGCCGGACCGCTGGAGGGATCATTTGGCGTTTTGAGAAAACGCTCCGGTGTAAAGACGCTCAGAGGAGCTGCAGATGCACCATCCTTGTGCCAGAGCGCTGCGTCCATGTGCGGCACGGACGAGCAGGTCATGGCGACCGTCCTGGCAGGGATCGCCCATCCATTTATATCCATACTGTGGCTGTCGACAAACCTGGTAATGAATATGTGGGTGCGGAGCCTAAGCATCTCCGCAAAGCACGCCTGGAGGTACGGCTGTGCAAGCAGTGTGGGTAGGTCGCCATGGAGCGGTGCAGGTTCAACGGCAGCCTGGCTGTGGGCAGCGCCTCTTGCAATCAAGCATTCAGCCCTCACGCGCCTCAGCCGCTCCCGAGAGCGGAACATCTCGACATTCAGCCAGTAAACGGCGGATATGGTATTGGAATTGGACCTGAGGGTGGTCAGCAAAGCACGGCTTCGGTGTGGCGGCGCCAACGTCATGATCGAACGGGGTATACAACTTACGCCCATATCAAGCCCAGATCAGATGCAGCGATTGCCTGCATCGACCAGCCGTCTACCTCGAGCAAGTCCATCTTCGCCTGCATGGATGCTGAGGCACCTGCAGATGCGCCGTTATTAGCACACGGCTGCCGCAAGGACAGGGTCCTCCACCGTACTAGACTGTCGAGCAACTTGTCTCGCAGCGAATAAGCTTGGGGAAATAGCCACGATGGGACGCCTTTTGTGATTGCCGGCACCCAGCTGTCAAAGCGCCAGAAGTCGCGCACAAAATCCCGGTCGACCGTGTCGATGAGTGCCGGCCCGCATATGGCTTCAATGGCCGCGGGCGTGACGTGAGTGGTGAGAAATTCGAATAGATCCGGCATCTCCACCCACTCGTCACCCACCGCCAGGCCACACAGCCGCTTATCAAAAGCACCCTGGAACCGCTCAATCAGCCCATTCAGCTCGGGCCCTTGGAGCATGTCCATGAACAGTTTCCGGTCTCGGTAGCAGATGCGGTTGTGCGGTGCGATGCTCGACCCCGGCCTGGGCGTGGCCGAGTACCCGGAATCGTCTTGCTCAAACAGCCTAGCCGCACTCTTGGGCATGCCGAACAGCTGGCTGGCGATGAAGTTTTGTGCATGTGCAGGGTTGGTATCCGACGCTGCTTTTAGCAGCCGGCGTACATTGTCCACGCCCTGGATCAGGAAGGGATCCATACCAGGCAGGCGAAGGCGAACGGGATATCTAGACTTGTTGTCAACACAAACGGCGATTTTTCCGGGACTCTGTAATGGCAATCATACGTACCTCAAGTTTTTCAACAGCACAAACGGCTCCGTCATGAAATACAAACTGTGGCCCAGCCCGGGAATCGCATATGGCAGCCATGGAGGAGCCAACTTTGCCGTGCTGCCACTGCTACTGTTCTTGCGTGCAACCCGAACCACATGTACAATATAATACGCAAAATAATGTGCTAGCAGCAGCGACACAAACCCCGTGCAAAGCGCGAGAAAATGCATTTTTCCTTGTTCTTGGAAGCAGAAGCAGAAGAAGAAGAAAAAAATAAATGAATAAATAAATACGGGGGAGATATTATGGAGTGGAGATTCCAAAAAAAAACTGCGATGGGGAGTTTGTCCCTTTTTTATATCATGCCGTACTGTACCCCCACATACACAAGTAGCGCTCTACAGACTAAACATAGATAATTAGCCCTGTCTGCCTGCCCTGTCTGCTACTGGATGTAGGTATGGGCACAGCACAGCACAGCACTGCACTGCACAGTGTAGGCAGCGAGTCTGTAAAAAAAAAAGAGGCGCGGGTGAGCAAATGTGCTGTAGTGTGCTGTATGCTATCTTTACGTCAGAAACAAGCCAGTTGCCTGTTTCTCACATCTCACTTCTTACTCACACCCATACACACACCCACACCCACACCCACACCCACACCCACACATACATACCCATACCCATACCCATACCCCGTTACCCATAGCCCGGTATTGGCCCCCCACCACACTTTTTCCTCCCACACACCCCTCCCCCACTCCCCGAACTTGGACTTGGATTTG